GATGGGTAGATAGATGATAGATAGATTGGTAAATAATAGATGGACTATTGGATATCAAACTAGAGATAGAACTTCGGTAAACTGAAAAATAGGTCAGAGCTAATATAATTATACTTAATTAGTAGAATCCTATAAGCCCTTGCAATTCATGTTCATAGTTTAGTCAAAAAAAAAGTAAATTTTTACAGTTGGGTTATTGAAAACAACCAGCATGAGTACAGAATGGGTGATTTTTAATAACAGCATTTCTATTTCGGTTGGTTGCAATTTTAAAAAGAGTCAAAGGTGACCAAAGTGGCCAGAACAGTCTTGACTGACACGGCTATTCTCCAAAAACAGAAGCACGGCAGGGCCCCAGCAGCTGCCTGAAGGAGCGGGTATCTGAAATAGTAGCTTCAGCTGTGGTTTCTGGGCATGCAGGAGGGGCCTGGAAGCCACAGCTGAATGAGTACAGACAACAGTTTGCACACAAGAGGGAGAAGGGCACTCTCTATCTTTAAATACGAACAAAGCCATCAGAAAAAAAGCTTTAGTGGTCACAAAGTGGACGGGTGGTTGTGAACTATCGGAAAATCTATGATTAATGGAAGATGGGAGCCTGAGGATGGAGGTGCTTGAGCCACAACCCCCAGAATGCCACACTTGGTGGATTTTTTAAGTCACACGGATAAGGTGTGACTTAAGGAGGTATTAAACCCTCCTCTGGCACTTCCTAGCTCCAGGGACGGACAAGTGGCTCAATCTCCCAACTTTGCTTGCCTCCTTGCAAACGGGGAGATCACTCCGATGACTAAGAAATAGTTGGGATGAAAGATAACACAGGGATTCCAAAAATGCAGCTTTTCACTTTAATAATCTCCAAAGGTGTTATATTATTATATTACTACACTAACTCAGAACTTACTTAGTGACCTCCCATGCATTTACACCAAACATCTTTTGAACACTTTCCTTCTGCCCATGACCTCTGTGCTTAACCAGCTTCGAGGATTTTGAAGAATACACATAATTTTTCTTTTCTTTTTTTTTTTTCAGACAACATATACTATGTTCACTCAGAAGGATCAAAACAAAAGCAAAAATTAAAACTAAAAATGTGTTCTTCAAAATTGGCAATGCCATCTGAGTTAGTAAGAAAGGTATTTACCACAACGTTTGGAGAATGGTCTTGGCCGTGGTCTTGATGCGTCTGAAAGTTCTTGAACCCAAAAACCCACAGTAGGACTTTGGGATGCCCGCTGGCTCCTAGAAGTCCTTCAGTTGGCCTATAGCTCCTTCAGGATTCATCTTATTTCTATCCTCTGTCCACAAAACTTATGGACAGGGACCCTCTGGGACACGTGGCATCCTTCCACTAGCAAGCAGTTTGGGTCACAGGGATTTGGAAGTGGCTTGTGTCCAAGAAAATAGCATCCACTAGCGCTATGACTCAGCCTGGGGCTGCCCAGACCCTCAACAAAGCCATGGTCACTTCTGCGTGCTCTGGGAGAACAGGGACACTTAGAGGCTCTTCTCCCTGGTAGATGATGGTTGTGGACCACTCTCAGCTCCCTCAGCGCCCTCCACCAACACTCATACTCAGCAAAGAAGCCCTCCACACATGCCTCAAGTCCCCTCCAAAGATCCCTTTAACCTTGGGGCCATTGGACCACCTGCCCAGTAAAGAAGTTTTGGTATCGGCTCTTAAAGATTCTATTCCAGCCAATATAAATATTCCAGCCAGTGGCTTCAGTCTTCATGTCTTCCTGTCTCTCTTTAATCCACTTGCTCTCTGCTAGTTAACCCTTCCACGTGGAAACCTGGTGGTGTAGGCAGGAAAGGGGCACTCCTTCCCCATTCAATTGGGAAGACGGTTTCCCGTTTGTGAAATAGAGCATGCTCGCAGAGGAGCAAAGAGTAGCAAGCTCTGAAAGACCCACCTTCCTGGCCACAACTTCCTGGCTGACAAAAGCAGACACCAAGAGCAAGATGGTGCACAACTCTTATCACTACACACAGCAAAAGCATCAAGGGAAGCTTGTTCCTGGCCACCAAGACCTTTGGGTGATGCGGTGGGCTGAGATGGTGGCTGTGCACACAGTGGGTTAGGCCGCAGTCCCGGACCGGGGAGAAGGGCTCAGCACCTTCTGCAGCAAGTGGTCCTCAGTACATGTGCTCATGCTGGTTGTTTTGGGGGTGGGTCCATCTGCCTCTGCAAGACACCATATGCAACTAATTGTAAGACCCTCAAGAAATACTCATGTACTCCGTGCCATGCCTTTTGGTGCAGGGATCCCTGTAAGCATCCGTCTTGACGGAGATGTTTGTGTGTGGTTTGCACAGGACACCCAATATCGACCGGCTTGCAGAAGAAGGTGTGAGGCTCACCCAGCACCTGGCGGCTGCCCCCCTCTGTACCCCCAGCAGATCTTCCTTCCTCATGGGGAGGCACTCCCTCAGATCAGGTCAGTGTTGTGGGGATGACTGAGAAAGGGGCATGTCTGTGTCCACTCATTACTTGTCCTTAATATTATTAGCGGTGGTTGAGATCCAGGGAAAATGGTGCAGATATAATCTGTGGTGGCATCACCTAGAACTTACATAAAGAATACTGTGTTTTAGGTAGTCATGCAATGATTTGGTTGATTGGGAATTCAGAGTCTGGAACTCTCCAAGGGTAGCTGGTTATGGTTGACATTGTATTTATTTGTTTAAATATTTTAGTCGATCTTGATGTGTAGTCATGATTTCAGACAGGCTCTGAGAGAGCATGTAGGGAGCTGAAAAATGGTCCCCGAAGATCCCACATCCTAATTCCCAGGATGGGTGAATGTTTCCTTATATGGCAAGGGGGACTTTGAAGATGGGATTAGGTGAAGGATCTTCAGATGGGAATGTTATCCTAGATTATGCAAGTGGCCCAGTGTCATCACAAAGGTCCTTCTAAGGGGAAAGCAGAAGGGTCAGAGTCAGAGAGGGGCAAGGAAGAGGTTGGTGAGATGCACTGTGAGGCTGCAGGAGGAGGCCCTGATTTGTTTGTCAGTGTCTGCTTAAGCTGAATGCATGCACACCCTGTGACCCAGCAATTCCTAAGTAGGTGCCCAACATGTACACACATGCACGTTCTACAAAAGATGGAATGAGAACGTTCACAGCAGCATTGTTTGTACGGTGCAAACACGGACACAGTTCATCAGCCGAAGAGTGGGTTAATAAACTGGTACATTCACATACTGGAATATTGTTGTATTAGTCTGTCTGAGCTGCCGTACATAATACCACAGAAGGACCAGCCTAATCAACAGAGATTAATTTTCTGATCATCTGGGAGGCTGGGGGTCTGACATCCAGGCGGGGCTGGAGGCTGGGAGTCTGAGATCCAGGCGTGGGCAAGGCTGGTTCCTCCTGAAGCCTCTCTCCATGGTGTGTAGACTGCCTCCTCCCTCTGTCCTCCCATGGTCGTCCCTCTATGAGTGTCTGTGTCCTCAGCTCCTCTTCTTATAAGGACCCCAGTCCTATGGGATCAGACCCCACCCCAATGACCTCATTTTTACCTCTTTAAAGACCCTATCTTCAAACACAGTCACATTCTGAGGTGCTGGGGGTCAGGTCTCTATGTGCAAGATGCTAGTAGCAGCCACTCTCCCCATCAAGTTGTGACAACCAAAAATGTCTCCATGCATTGCCAAATGTTCCTTGGGGGTCAGAATTACCTTTGGTTGGGAACCATTGCCATAGATAGATCATGGATAGAAGATATAGATAGATATAGATAGATAGATAGATGATAGATAGATAGATAGATAGATAGATAGATAGATAGATAGATAATAGATTGTTTGATAAATGATAGATTAATAGATTGATAGATGATAGATAGGTGGATAGATGATAGATGAATAGATGGGTGGGTGGGTGAATGGGTGGATGGATGGATGGATGATTAGAGATAGATGATAGTTAGATAGATATAGATAGATAAATAGATGATAGATGATAGATTAATAGATTGATAGATGATAGATAGGTGGATAGATGATAGATGAATAGATGGGTGGGTGGGTGGATGGGTGGATAGATGGATGGATAGAGATAGATGATAGATATAGATAGATACATAGATAGATGATAGATATAGATGATAGATAGATAGATAGATAGATAGATAGATAGATAGATGATACATGATAGATGAACAGATGGATGGATGGATGGATGATAAAGAGAGAGAGAGAAACAGACAGAATCTCTCATGCCAAGGCAGGGTTTCTCAACCTTAGCACTGCTGACATTTGGGCCGGATGATTCTCTGTGGTAGGGGCATCCTGGGCACCGTAGGGTGTTTCCCCTGCCAGATGCCAGTAGAACCCCTCCTGCAATTGTGACAACCCAAACCAACCCCAGACAGGGTGAAGAGTCCCCTGGTGTGGGCCAGGTTCCTCCCCAGGCAAGAACCCCTGCTGTAGTCAAGGGAGAGTGAGTGCTTGCTCTCTGCTCTGCTCCACAGGCATGGAAGCCGATGATGGGTACCGTGCCCTCCAGTGGAACGGGGGATCGGGCGGACTCCCCGCGAATGAAACCACATTTGCGAGAATCCTGCAGCAGCAAGGTTATGCAACCGGACTCATAGGTGCTCAAACGGTTCAGGGGGATGGAGAATCAACCATCAAAAGCACCTGTTTCCCAATAAGGCGAAAACATCACGTGTCAGAACCAAAATAGGGTGCTGACCCCGTCTGATCTCTCTTGGATTGGTCACATTGTTGGAATTTCTGTCATTGACAAGCAATTTTAATTCAACATCTTGCGAGATTTGCTCTTTCCTTCCATTCCCAGGCTTTGTATTAGGGGCTGGTCTCATAGGCACCCGCTGCCTGGCACCCCCCAAAACTCCAGCCTCCAGAAGGAAAGCAGGTGTTCAGCAAAACCACATTGTGCAAACATTTTAGACACAGAGCCACACTTACTATTTAGGGAATGATGGGAATCCTCTGGAGAGCCGATTGTCACACATCATTAGTCAAGGGCCAACCTTGTAAGACCACCTGTCTGAGAACGGCACTCTGACACCTGCTAGGTGACTTCTTTACAGATGGGCACCCACCTGTCATGGACCACAGGCTTGTGACCACTTTCGTTCCTTGCTTCAGCCTGTGGGTTTAGAAGTGGTATCCGTCTTAGAGGAATCAGAGGCCAGATGACGAGGGCGTCTTTCCCGACCCCTCAGTCAAGGGAGGGCTGGGTCAAGTCTGTGTGCAGGGGGTCCCATTCGATTCCTCACCAGCTCTTCCACACTCAGAGTCGCTGTTGAGTTCAGAAGGGACTCTGACACCCCCACTTTGTCAGGGCAGTGATTGGCTGGAGGTGTGGGTAATCACCCTTACCCCCTTTTAAAATGTCCTGCTACTTTAGAAATAGAGATTATGTAGATTTACTTCCCACAGTGCTGGAGGCTGAGCAGTCCAAGATCCAGATTCCGTGTCTGGTGAGGACCCTCATCCTGCTTCACAGATGACTGTCTTCTCTCTGTGTCCTCACATGTGAGAAGAAGGGGTGAGGATCTCTCTGGGGCACTAATCCCATTCACAGGGGCTCCACCCTGAGGATCTGATCTCCTCTCCAAGGTCCCACCTCCAAATACCATCAACTTCAGGGTCAGGTCTCAACATAGGAATTTTGGGGAGACGCAGATATTCAGAATATAGCATATCCCATTTTCAAGGACTTTGTATACATCTGCTCTATCGCCTATATTTCTCTTTTCAATCCTAAGAAGTAGAGCAAAGCTTCTTAGCTACCCAAATTGACTGGAACTTTCCATTACCAACTCACCACCGTTGGGTCAATGTCCTTGACCCCACGACAACCCAGGTATCTCCTACTCTGTGGGTGGAATTGTGTTTAAAACTAGATGAGTAGATTTATTTTGTGTTTACTGGACTTGCAGACCTGTGTATCGGTTCGTTCTGTGAATCTTTATTCTTCTCGTGCACACACCCCATCTATATTCAGACAAGGCTGTTCTTCACATTCCAAATGGTGGAAAGTGGACAAGATGGAGACCGTCCTGTATACTTTTCGTCTCCACCTATTTCACCCCATCTCAGCATTTTCACTTTCATAAATGTAAGCAGGCATATGAAGGAATGTCCCTGGGCTTGGAACTAAAACCAATCCTACAAGTTCTGAAGACGCTTTGTGAGTCATGGGAGGGAAGAGCAGGGCAGGGACCCAGTTTAACCTCTGCACTTGGAAATTATGGCAAGTAGTACCTTGGACCCTTTTCTGTTCTATCTTGTAGCTAAATTTAAGCTGGCTGAGCATCTGGAAGGAACCCAATTCTATATATCCTGCTAGAATTTGATAGATGGGCTTCCTCATGTTCCATCTCAATGATATTATAAAATTACTGCCTTTGGAAAAAATCTATTATAAGCAATTCTTGCTTACTAGTTATTAGAGTGAGTCAGTTCCTTCTGCTCTATCATAAGATTATTCTAGAGCCAGCTCCTGTTATCAAGTAGTTGTCTTTTAAGTAAGAAATATCGTAAGTGATATTTTCTGAGTTATTTAGTAGCAGAATAGTCTAGGGTTGCAAATTGTAATTCCCAACAGTCCAGAAAACCTTAAACCTTTAATCTTCTTTTTCTTTAAACCTTTAATCTCTTGATAACGATCATGACCTCCATACGTTTGTTCAGTATCTGCAAAGTGCAATGTAACCATTTAAAAATACACCAGTATCAAACATTCATTTTATTCCTTTCTATCTCAAATTTATATCATGTTCCTTTTCTTTTCAGATTTTGCTGTTTGCATACCTTTATTTTCATTGGAGCATCCAAAGCGTTGAGAAGGTGATTGGTATCAGACAGAGTGCCTTCCATGTGTGTCCTTGTTTAACTTCTTGCTCTTACTTTCAGGAAAATGGCACCAGGGTGTGAACTGTGAATCCCGCACCGACCACTGCCACCACCCACTGAACCACGGATTTGACTATTTTTATGGCATGCCTTTCACGCTTGTGGATGACTGTCAGCCAGGCAGGCCCCCGGGACTGGACGCCACGACTAGAGCCAGGCTGTGGCATTACACCTGGATGGCGACACAGGGGCTATTGACTGTTGCTGTTGGTAAGACTTGGGGGTTAATCTCTGTGTCCTGGAAGGTGGTCCTGGGTGCAGCCAGCCTCGTCTTCCTCTTCTTCATCTCCTGGTACGCCAGCTTTGGGTTTGTGCGTCGTTGGAACTGTATCCTGATGAGAAACCATGACGTCACAGAGCAGCCCATGGTTTTGGAAAGAACGACGAGTCTCATGCTACGTGAGGCAATTTCCTATATTGAAAGGTAATCCCAATTTTAAAGAGGAGGTGAGTTCTCATAGCACCCGAGTCTCTTTATCATCTTTGGAATTTCTTAAATCAGCCCCGATGGGGAGATGAGTTTCAAGGACTCAAATGGATCAAATACTGTGGAAACAGGATCAAATACAGGTGTCATCATGTCCGAAGGATGTTTTTCTTCTTTCAGAAATAAGCACAGGCCTTTCCTTCTCTTCGTGTCCTTGCTGCATGTACACATTCCCCTGGTAACCACAAAACAGTTTCTCGGGAAAAGCCAGCACGGCTTATATGGCGACAACGTGGAGGAGATGGATTGGCTTGTAGGTAAGTCAAGGCGCAGCCGCGCTTCATTCAGTCTTGACCTCACCACTGAACTCTGGTAACAGATGGGCCACCTCGCTATGAACCAACTTGCAATAAAGAATAAGAGAAAAGGCGGGGCACCTGGGTGGCTCAGTTGGTTAAGCGACTGCCTTCGGCCCAGGTCATAATCCTGAAGTCCCGGGATCGAGTCCCGCATCGGGCTCCCTGCTCTGCGGGGAGTCTGCTTCTCCCTCTGGCCCTCCCCCTTCTCATGCTCTCTCTATCTCATTCTCTCTCTCAAATAAATAAATAAAATCTTTAAAAAAAAAAAAAGAATAAGAGAAAAGGCAAAGAATAGGGAGAAAATTTCCCATATCATTCATGTGCTCCTTTAGCACTTCTGATCCCCCAGCCTACTTCTGCACAAAATCATCCTACAAAGTGTATTATTTAAAGCCATCATGAGGGGCACCTGGGTGGCTCAGTCGGTTAAGCATCTGCCTTGGGCTCAGGTCATGATCTCAGGGTCCTGGGATCGAGTCCTGCATCGGGCTCCCTGCTCAGTGGGGAGTCTGCTTTTCCCTCTCCCTCTGCTCCTCCCCCATCTTTGTGCTCTCTCTCTCTCAAATAAATAAATAAAATCTTAAAAAAAATAATAAAGCCATCTTGAGACATTGCAGAAAGTGAAGCAAGAACACTATCGTTCAGGGCAACAGACCAACATCACTGTGGCCTGGAGAAAACCTGGAGAGATCCAGCGAGATTATAGATTGTTTGTTTTCACATTGCAGTATAGTTGATACATAGTGTTACCTTAGTTTCAAGTGTATATAGATTCTTAAAAGAATGTAGACATCTAAATCCTTGCAGGATCCAAGGACTTATCCTGGGAGAAGCATAGTGCTAGAGTAGACCAAGTCAAGAGGCAAACAATCCCAAAACGGGAGGGTAGATTACATCATGCTTTAAAAACATGCATTTCCACTGCTGTACATGCCCGTGTGGTGTAAAATCTTTACTTTCAGTGCTTTAGATGTGCATTTGGTCTCCGTAGATAAAGCGAGTGCTTGGCTTGTGGATGGCTCCGCTCTCCTGAGCCTTGGCCCCCATGTGCCAACACCCACAGATGGATGCTCACAGCTCTGGCTTCCTCCTGTCTTGACAGGCTTGTCCCATCAAACCCTTTCTCACCACGTTCCCACCCCCATGCACTCATTATGGACACACGTATGCATGCCAACAATGCCCATTCAGAACACTCCATTGCTGGCATATTGGCTTTAGGTGTTTATTCTGTTTTCTGTGTTAGTATCACTAATGATCACTAGTGATACCTTTGTAAACAAGATTCTGAATCCTGTGGTATCAGGAAAATCAGATAGGGGTTCACACTTTGTCATCACATTCATAACGACAGTCTCTTGGTGACTGCAGAGTCCCCTTATGGGACTTTCTAGCAAGAAAGGGCAAATTTGGGTTGAATTCGCTGATGCTGTTTCATTGGCTCCGTCCTGAATTGTTCTATTTCTCTTAAAGGTGAAATCCTTAAAGCCGTTGACGTAAATGGTTTGAAAAACATGACATTCACGTATTTTACCTCTGATCACGGAGGACATTTGGAGGCAAGGGACGAACGTGGCCAGCTGGGGGGATGGAATGGAATATTCAGAGGTGAGACCAGTGGATGTTGGGGGTTAAGAGTCAGATATGTGACCCATCAAATGATTCCCAGTGATACAGGCTGGAGAGCAAGCAGAAGGGGAAAAGAGTCTGTGCTTTCAAAGGGGGATTTTCTTGAGCAGCTCCTATACACCAAAATCTATCCAGATGCTAAGAGAGAGAAAAAAAGATACCTGCGCTTCCCTTAAAGAATTTACATTTTAGTAGAAGAGTGAGATATACAAATAAATAATTAAGATAAAATTAAAATAAATGCCATCCTAAATCAAGGGTAGTGCAGTAACTATAACCTTAGTTATATGTGTCCCTGTACTCCACAACATCATGCAAGATTTAGGGCGTGATACCTTTATATTGTCATCTTAAAAGTCTGATACAATTGTTCTGCATGATTCATGGATTCCATATTTATGAATTCATTTACTTGCTAAAATATATCTGTAACCCCAAAAATCAATACTTGCAATGCCTTTGCACTCATTTGAACAGCAGTAAAAATATTGGTCGCCTGACATGCGTGTTCTCAACTAAGGTTGGATGACGTAACCCTGTGCCTACAATTTCATCTCTCAGACTATAAACATGTGTCCTTTTCACGGTCTCTTTAGTGGCCACGTTTTTATAGTTTTGTTTGCTTTTTATTGGTGACTCTGCTACTTCAAATAGCTCCCAACCGTAGTTCTGAAGGACTGTTCCCTGTTTCCAAGGGCAAGAAGCTTGCGATGTGCCTTATGGAGAAAATAGGTGTGTTAGATTGGCTTCATCCAGACAGGAATTCTAGCGCTGTTGGCCATGAGTCCAATGCGAATGAATCACGATATCTACTCAATAAGGAGTCTTTAAACCAAAACACACAGAAATATACTGATTGGCTGATGAAAATACGGGGACCAGAGTCTCCCTGGAACTGAGCCCTATATTACACCTGAGAGTCGTGGTTCAGTATGAGCTAACTGGGTGTTTGTGGCGACTTTGTAGAACATCACTCCAGGGAATGAGAGTCGACTGTATATGTTCCTATGACTTGGAAGTGGCTTTTTCCTCCAATCCTCCATATACATCCCCAAGCTGTACAGTAGATTCTCGTCATTCCCGGTGGTATGTTCTACAAACAGCCTACCCCTTGATTTCCAACTGGGACCCAGAACAGAGTACCCACCAAGCCACACCTGACTCCCAACATACAGAAGGGAGACCTAATACACAGGAGTGAGGCTGCTGATTTGCAGTAACTTGTTACGCAGCGGTACAAAACAAAGGCAAGCCCGTTATAATTTTTGAGCTGCAACAAAGAAGTATTTATTTAGCAAGATTCTGAACACATCCCTCCCTGTTTACAACTCTCCTTCTGTAACATAGGATTGCTTTGATTTCCATACCCAGAGTTCTTAGGAAGTGGAAGCACGTTGTCTAATGCTCAATACTTATATGCATTTCCCAAAGAGCCAACCGGGGCCCCAGCTTACTGCTAAGGGTCCCAGAAATGAAGAAGAACCAGGAAAAGGCGTAAAGGAACAGGTGTATGGTATGGCGAGCAGGTAGGAGAGGAGGACCCCCCCTTGGCAAGGGGGTCCAAGATCCAATTCCTAGTCCTTTCAGAAAGAAAAAGGACAGAGGAAGACAGGGACCACCAACCATGCGCAGTATGAAATCCCAGTGCTGGTTATAGCTCTGAAGCCACGCATTGGACACCCCATGTGTCCCGTGGTCGCAAAGACCCGCTGAATCTCAAGAGGAGAGCATATGAACTCCACGTGCCCATAGGGATGTGACGAGGTTCTGGAATTATTGCTGCAAATGTTTTTGGGAAATGCAGGCTGCCACCGTGTGTTAATATGTGTGGGGGTGCCCAGGTACATACACACAGACAGACAGGTGCACCCAGGTGTGTGTGTGGATGGGACCATCTCCTGAAGAATTCTAATGGCATTTACTTACAGGTGGCAAAGGGATGGGGGGCTGGGAAGGCGGCATCCGTGTCCCAGGGATCTTCCGCTGGCCTGGGGTGCTGCCTGCTGGCCAAATGATCCACGAGCCCACCAGCCTGATGGATGTTTTCCCCACCGTGGTCCAGCTGGGGGGCGGCAATGTGCCCCAGGACAGGTACACATGTAATGAGATCTCCGTCCTCCCCAGTTCCTCAGAGCTGTCCTTTTACTATTTTACACGTAGGGGAGAAGCCCTACCACGATGTGAGAACATTCAGAAAGTTCTCACATCCTCAAATGTAGGGGACAGCCTAAGGCAAAATAATCATACTCAGTTAAACATGATTAAATAAAACATTGGGTCCATCTACTCATTTTGCCATTTTGGTAAGATTTTATAACTCAGCACAACAGGGAGATGAAAGCATTAGAAGTCAATCCATTGAAACACATCTCCCTATGATTTCCTGAGAGTCACTCTTGCCCGTATGTTGACTGACAGCGTGCTTTAAAAATGATTTATCACCTCGATATTAGCACAGGACCAAAGACTCTTGCGAATACAAGATAAAAACAAGGCAGTAAATATTTTGATAATGATTTGGTTTTACTCCATTTAAGGGAACAAATAAATACTCCTGTATAAGAGAGACAGAACCAATAGTTATATGTGCAGGTGTCTGTGTGTTTATAAAATAAGACATGTATCTTATGCTCATGCATTTGTGGACAAATTGAAATCCTTATGTCGGGCCAGTGGGCTGCAAACCCAGGCAGAATTTCCCTGTTACAGTCTCAAGGCACAATTCTACCTTCTCTGGGAAACCTCAGTCTTTGCTCTTGGCTGCCGTCAACTGATTATGTGAGGCCCACCTTCACTGTGAAGCGCGCTCTGCTTTGCTCAGAGTGCACTGATTGTGGATGTTAACCGTGTCAAAAAAAATGCCTTCACAGCAACACTCAGAGTGGCGTTTCACCAAATCACTGAGCACCATGACCCAGCCAAGTGGACACAGAAAACGGAACCATCATAATTAGGATATAGTTAAAAGTGTTCTACAACTGTAAGGGAAAATACTACGTTTGTACATTAAGTTCAGATTGAGGACTTTTTAAAAATATGGTCATGTGGCCATGGCTGGCAAGGTTGGGATGGTGTGTATGTCTGTGTGCTCACTGCGTATGGAGTGCTGCATAACAAAATGACCCCACAAGTTAGTGACTTTGTGTTTAGAAACAATGACGTGCATCTTGCTCAACAACTTGCAATCTGGACAGAGTTGGGGAGACAGCTCATCTCTGCTCTTCTTGCCCCATAGCAGGGGCCCTTACAAGCTTGGAGTTTCATTTTCAGGTGCAACGCAGCCTGAGCAGCCTTGGTCTGATTCCTCCTTGTGTCTCTTTACTGAATCAGGGTGATCGATGGCCGTAGCCTGGTGCCCTTGCTTCAAGGGGCTGCTGAGCACTCTGCACATGAGTTCCTGTTTCATTACTGTGGAAAGTATCTGCATGCAGCACGCTGGCATGAGCAGGACAGTGAGTACATGCCTTCTCCTGGTGCGGGGGGTGGGGATTGCATTAGTCAGGGTTCCCCCTGAGAAACAGAACCAAGAGTGTGTGGGATGGATGGATGGATGGATGGAGGGAAGGTGGATGGATGGGTAGATGCATGGATAAGTGGATGGATGGATGGATGGATGGATGGATGGTTGGATGGAAGGTGGATGGATGTGTAGATCATGGATAAGTGGATGGATGGATGGATGGATGGATGGGTGACACATGGATGGATGGATGGACATATGATGGATGGTTGGATGGATGGATGGGTGGACAGATGAAAGATCATGGATGGATGGATAGATGATAGATGATGGATGGAGGATTGATAGGATAGATTAATAGATAATGAAATAGATGACAGAGAGGTAGATAGGTAGATAACAGATGGATGATAGAGAGAGAAAATAAAGACAGATGTAGATGAATGGGTGGATAGAAACGAGAGATTTTTCAAGAATTGTCTCATGTGGCTGTGGGGACTGGCAAGTCTGAAATCTTCAGGGCCAGCCCGCAGTCCTGCAGGAATGGATGCTGACATCTTGAGTCCAAAGGCTAGAAACTCAGGCAGAATTTCTGTGTTGTGCTCTGCAGGCAGAATTCTTTCCTCTTTAGGGGACTTCAGTCTGCTTTCTCTTACATCCTTCAGGTGATTGGGTGGGGCCCACCCACAGTATGGAGGGCGGTCTGCTAATGTAAATGTTCATCTCACTGGGGAAAAAAAAAAAGCAAACCCACGCCGGGGACATGTAGATTAGTCTTTGACCACGTTTCTGGGTGCCATAGGCTGGCCATAATGATGCATGAAACGCAGCATTACAGAGCAGATCTCTTTCTGAGAAGCTGAGGAGACTCAGTCTCTCATGGGGAATGTGGCTGGTGCCGGGCAAATGTACAGGGGAAGGGAAGCTGCGGGCTGCACCCCATGCCACCCTCTGATTGGCTTTATTATCTGCCATGTATGCAAATGCACCCCCTGAGGACACAGCAAGAACTTTCACAGTGTTGATGTGTCCTATTTGCTTCTGTTAATGAAGCTAGTATGGGGATGTGGAGCAATTAGAAAAGAGAGTGAAGGGTAAGAATGAAGTAAGCACGGCCCGTGGGGGTATCATCCCTGCAGGCAGCCTCACTGAGCACTTTGGGAGGAGTCCCTTTGCCTCTGTGTGCCTGGTCCACACCCTATAGACACACTTTGCAAGAACCACCTGCTTTTCTTCTCTCCTCTCTTTTTACTTGGATGGGATGTTGACGATTTCCCCAGGGCTGGTACTTAGGTCAGGTGTTCACCGCTCTGTTTGTCTTTAGGGGGAAGACTCTGGAAGGTCCACTACATGACACCACAGTTCCACCCCAAGGGGGCGGGGGCCTGCTATGGCCGAGGCCTGTGCCCCTGCTCCGGGGACGGCGTGACCCAACACAGCCCTCCTCTGCTCTTCGACCTCTCCAGGGACCCTTCCGAGGCGGAGCCCCTGTCCCCTGGCTCCGAACCCCGGTACCACGCGGTGATAGCACTGGTGGGCGAGGCAGTGGATCAGCACAGGAAGACCCTGAGTCCTGTGCCCCCGCAGTTTTCCCTGAGCAACATCATCTGGAAGCCGTGGCTGCAGCCATGCTGTGGAACCTTCCCCTTGTGCGCGTGTGGGCAGGACGAGGTCCCCAGTGAGACATGACCTCACACTTGGCAGGATGCCTGTCATCAGACAGACGGGGCAAAACATGTTGGCGAGGATGCAGAGAAAGGGGAACCGTTTTGCACTGTTGCTGGGAATGCAAACTGGTGCAGCCACTCTGCAAAACAGGATGGAGTTTCCCCCAAAAATTAAAAATAGAGCTATCCTATGACCCACTGATTGCACTCCTGGGTATTTGCCCAAAGGAAATGAAAACAGGATCTCAAAGATACCTGCACCCCCATGTTCATAGCAAAATTCTTCAGAGCAGCCAAGACCTAGAAACAACCCAAGTGCCCATCGACGTGGTCCATCCACAGAACACAACACGACTCAGCCACGAGAAGCAAGGAGATCCTGCCCTTTGTGACAACGTGGATGGAACTCAAGGACATTATGCAAAGTGCAGTAAGCCAGACACAGATCCAAAAATACCACATGATCTCACCGATTCGTGGAGTCTTAACAATAAAGGAGGGAAGGGTGTGTTCTCTCTTGGAGGGATGCAACCCCATGCTACCATCCTCTGCTTCATGGCCTCAGGATGGCTGCAGCAGCTCCAGCCACCATACAGACATTCCACGCTGCCAGAAAAAGGGCATTCGTCCCAGCTGAGTAAGCCCCTGTGAAGGGGATTCTGCAGAGGTCCTAACCCCGGACTCCTGCTTCCATCCGTAGAAACAACTGGGAATTAAGAAATGCACTTTTTGAAGTGGGCACATACCTGCAGGGGGTAGAATCAGGGTTAGTCTCATCAGCCTAAAGGTGAGACAGCCTTTATAATGACTTGTCCGAGGTCTTTGATACATCATTTCATTGCCAAATTAAATTATTTAGCAAATTTTGAGGTTCCAGCTGGCTTATAAACCTCGAATTTCTGCAAGAAACCTCCTTTTGGGCTTTTTAAAAATTTCTTCCCCCCTTTTTTTCATCCTTTATGACTTTCTTGTCTGCTTCTCATGAGTCAGTCTTTTTAAGTGAAACTTTTTTCCGCTCGCAAAACACTGCCAATATCCAACTCTACACACATATATTTTAATGCAAAACTGACTCAGAAAATCAGACGTGCAGCAGGGAGGCGGGTGGGAGGGACGTGGGGAAAGATGCCAGGGGCTGCCTGCAGATCCACAGGGGAAGGAGGCAGCGCAGGGCCCCAGGGCGGTGATAAGCAGGACGCACTCCTGGGTCAGGGCAGAGCAGAGCTGATTTACAACCAGATGGAACAAGCCTTATCTTAATCTCCAGGGCCCCATGTCTTTACTTGCAGCGAAACATTGGCAACTGGCCTAACCGGTTAGACCGGCTGTGGCTTAACTAAGTGTCCCCCGGAGAAAGACAGACTTCTCCCCTCCACTGTCTGCTCTGTTGAAACCGAATTTCCTCCCACAGACCTTGGTGCTCAGTCTGCAGACAGAGCAAACGGGGAGCTTTGCACGGACTGCTGCTGAACCCCCAGGGCTGCCTGCCAGGTTCCGTCTCTGGCTGCCCTCCTGTCCCACGCCTTTATTGCAAGCTCTGCATGAGTGTGAGCAGACTCTGAGGGGCCTGGGGGTGCACTCGAATATCCAAACTAGGGAAATTTTGCAGAATATGGTCAGCGTTGGCTAGCCCCATAGATGAGCTTGTTACACATCCAATGGGGCGTTCCCTGTCACAGTTGGCTGTTCGCAAGCAAAAACACACATTTAGACCTTTAACCTCTCACACATCCCGAAGGATGAATGCCAAATCCACTAGAGACCCAAACAAAAAAGAGGAACTGCAAAACATCCAGAAAGAAATTCAGGGCAAAATCTTTGTCCTCTTAGGTTAGGAAGAGATTTTTTAAGATAAGACAACCAAAGCTTGATCTGCTTTTCAAAAGTCGATAAATGAGAGTTTATCAAAATTCAAAGCTTGTGTGCTTCAAAGAGCACCATGAAAAAAAGGAAAAGATAAGCCGCAGACCGGGAGAAAAATATTTCCAAATGAATACAACTCCATAATAAGGAGACAAACCACCTAAGAAGTGGGCAAAAGATGTGCAGTCATTTTACTAAAGAAGAAATGAATGACTAATAAGCACATACAAGGATAATTGGTCTGCATTTCCTTATTCAGGAGTGGTTGCCTGAAAGAAACGCCATTCTGCTTCAACTTGTTTGCAATCCCACACCAAAACCCATCAGCGTGGGAGCTGCTCAGGTGCATTCGAGTACCACACAATGGTTTCAGCAAGATACGACCAAGTGATAATACTATACTTTGTTCCTCTACATCTACACACCTTCACCCACCCTGCAAAGTCACCGTATCTACAGGAGCTTCTCCCCACATGGCATTTCCTCCTGCTCCCAAATAATAATTGGAAAATATTTCTAGAACAAGAAAATGTAAACACACACACACACACAAACTACCTTTTATGTACCCAAATATTAATGATAGTACAGGTCAAATCACATCTCTTGGGGACTCAAACAGTTGTGTAGTCCTGACCTGACATAGCACAGATTCTGCATTGGCCTTATTCATGTAACAACATCGTATTATACCTCTTACACAGACGATATTTAGAAACCCTCAGAATGTTTTGAACTACTCATTTATGAATAAGTACATGTCACAGTGCCTGCCCTACAGAGAACTCAATAACCATGGGATGGATAGATGGACGGATGGATGGATGACTACATAAGTGGATGATTGATAGATGGATGAATGGATGGATGGATGAGTGGCTGGGTGGAAGGATGGATGAATTGCTGGATGGGTGGATGGATGGATGGGTGGGTGAGTGATTGGAAGATGGATGGATGGATGGATGGATGGATGGATGGATGGACTGAATGAATGAATGTGACATTGAAAAACAATACTAGGAAATGGGTAGCTTCCCTAGAGAGACCTTAGGGAATTTCACACAGTGAGAAGTAAACAGTTCTACACATTTTACTGCTACTAGCAATTCTGAAAAAAATGTTGGTGATTTAAATTTACAGACACCCACGTCCCTTCCCTCTGTGACATATAAAATATTATTCTGATGGCTCAGAACACACACAAACACACACCAGAAGGGACACCATGTTGCTGTTTTAAATTTTTAATTGAAGTGCATTAGCATCCATTCAAATCAGAAGATATAGACCAGAATGCATAACAGAAGTCTGTGTTGAACAGACACCTTAAGCCATTGAACCACTGTCCAGAAACAGGAGTTCTCTTCCCCACAGAAGCTGAACCAGACTCAATATTCATCACCGGACTCCTCCTTCTCAAGTATGTCAGACTCGGGCTCCTGTTTTTCATAACCCAACACCAGGGCACCCAGCACCCATGGTCTTTCCCCAGAACAAGTTTATAGTGTTGCTCTAATGGTTGATTACCATCCCCGCTCAACCCCTGTAAGGCTATATCCATATGGCTATCTTCACTTAGCTCTGGAAGCTTCATATGTGTGATGCCCAACCAAGACTGCAGACCATTAGCCACCCAGACATAAAGGAAACAACCCCTCTGTAACTCAAGTCTTGCAAAAAGCTCACACCACAACTAACATCATGCACTTCCCCACATTCCTCTACCCAAGGGCTCACCTGCTTGACATGATGTAAAACGTGGCCAAACACACCCACCAAGTTATAGCACAACCACCACCACGTGGTCCAAACCTGTCTGTAGGAAACCCTCTGATGTTCCACAGTACGTGCATGATAAACAAACCATCCTAACTTTTTAACATTTCCCTCTCTTTAGCACGGTGATGCCCATTTTTAGGTGGTGGCCACAAGCAGTGACCCTGTCAGAGCTGCTCCAACACACTGCATGAATTCACAAAACGAGGATACTTCTGAAGATGAGGATTTCTCATAGAATAAAGCATCCAGTCTCATAAAACGGAGATTTCTCCCCAAAACAGCTGCGTTGAAGTGGTCTGGAGAACACAGTGACTCGAGTCGTTATTTAGGACTGAGGTAGTGATATCCAGCAGAGCACAGTCAATTGTGATGGACTGCAAACAGATCTGCCTCTACACAAAGAGCCTCTCCAGATCCTGTTAGTGTGAGTGAGGTGTCATCAGAACCACCTGGAGTAAACCCTCGGTGCTCCCCAACCAAGAAGACGCTCCATCTCCCAAGCCAGCTACAATCTCCCTTCCACATTACCTCCAGCATTTCCCAAGTCGGGCATCCGCCAACAGCACTGGGCGGTCCCACCAGGATTTGCAGAAGAGAAACAACACCTGTAGTGTTGCTCAGACATAGACTTGCTCCGCGAAGTCTACGTGAGAGTCTCCCTCAAGACGTCTGAACGTCTACCTAGTCCTCAAGGAAAGGACTTTCCATCGTCGAGGCTTCCTGAGGTCCTGAATACATATATCGGTGTCGTTAGCTTAGGGGCAGAAGAGAATCTGCAGTGATATCTAACCCTATGTGGGAGAGCGATGGTAGCACCTGCCCAAGGCAGCATCCCAGAGCTCCGTGGAGCAAGACCAGAGAGCATGATCAAGGGTCTACCAGAAGTTTATCCCTGCTCCCACTTGCTGAGAAGAACTGACGTCTCAGGGGAGCCAAGAAGGCATGGGTAGCTTGGATAAGCAGGGCAGGGTGGTAGAGCGCTTTAAGCTGGGTTTTTTATGGTCTACATTATTTTTGTGAGGCACTCAAGTTGGTCAGCCATAAATAGAGGCACATAGCCGAACACCTGTTCCCTTCGAAGGGCCTGGAGATGTCCGCATTCACGGGACCATGCAGCAGAATATTGCCTGACCACACGCAGCACAATGCGAACCCTGGGGTTACTGCAGAAACCGGTCCAACTTCTCCTGGATGCGGGCGAACGCATCCTTCCCCATGTAATCGATGCGTCCCTCCTCCCATTTTCTCCTTTCTTCCTCGGGACTCGACTCCTTGACCTTCTCTTCGATGGAAATCTCGAAAACAGACATGGCCAGGTCAACCTAGGGAGGACAAGCAGACAGAAGATGGTTTTTGGAGCCATCCCTGGCGTAACTGAATATCGGTTTAGTGACTGGGTCTACAAATGAATCTCAGTTCTCTTGAACAAAATATGTGCTGAGTTTAATATAATACTCTTAGAAGAAGATGCTTTTCCTGGCCACGTTTTGTGAAATCTTATAAAATACCATTGTACATGTGTTCACTTTTTCATAAGAAGTGTTTTAATTTTTACCACTAAACCATTTTACACACACACCTGTACCGATTTAATGCTTCCACCCACCGGAAACCTCAATGTTTGGTATCACCAGATATAATCAAACAATGTGAAATCAAGAAAATATTCGCCTTGTATGAATAAAGCCTAGAGTAGTTTGGACAGCCTGTGAAAGCCATTTAAATAATAACCGCAGTGGTTTTCTGCTTGCAAATGGCAGGGTTTTTATCTTCTTAAAGCCAAAATACGAGACAATATATAAATACACACATGTGCAAACACACACACGCACCTTTTGTTTGGTCAAATGGGTTTAAAAATTTCTTACCAAGGATTAGAAGAAGATGTCTAAAAATACGCATGTGCTGATAACACGCACACACACGCTATGGGTGACACTCAGGTGTTCCCCAGACGTTGTGTGTGTTGGTGGGATGATACTGGATGCCAGAAAGTTAAATTAGAATTTCGATGCTACTGGGCATATGGGACTTTCTACTCTGATTATTTACAGTAGTGTTTTTAAAGACTTTGTACGGATAACATTCTGTTTTCTACCCTTGTCCCCCTACATCATGTTCAAACGTTGCCATCCTGTTGGCCAAGGAAATAGCAACAGTTAAAAAAGAATTATTTTCCATTAGACCTTAGCCATTCTTTCCTCTAAGAGCCCTTGGATTCGGGCTCAGTGCATGTCTGGGAACTAAAACTTTCTGGAATTAACAGGACCCGTAGAACATATGGCATACTGTCACTCAACACAAAACAGTGTGGCGGCTGCATGCTCCGTGATAACAAGAGGAGATACCTATCTAGGAAAACCACAAACTCCCTTGATTTTATGAAACATGGTATGATACAAAATAGTGAGGGTCATCCACAGTGGAGTGGAGACACTACATAGGAGGAGAAAGCCAACACGCCCCAGTTAAGCGGACAAGTAATGGAGCGCCAGTTCCTGGGTGCTCACCAGGTCCCCTCACCAGGATGCATCCTATGCAGATGCATCACCCTAGAAGGTGGGAGTGTTACTGGTGCCATCCGCTGGGAGCAGCCCTGGTGGTAGGGCTGGTGCCAATCTCTATGAGCCAGGCACAATCACGGATTCTTCCAAACCACTGCTGAGTCTAATGCCCACCCCCATCTCCTGCTTTCCCAGGTGGGCACCCCCGTGTCCACCTCATGGATCAGAGAAGGTAGTGAACTCGCCAATGGTCCCAGAGCCTCCACACCACATGGCTGAGCTGTTAAATGAGGTCTGCCCAGCAGCACCCCCATACCGTGTCACCCCCAACCACTATTTATCCGAATCACTCAGCCTCAAAGTCACACCGCCAGAGCTGAATATGCTCACGTTCCACATGCTACCAGCAGTTTCAGAACAAACCCTGTCATGGAAGCCTCTAGAAATAAGTTCAAAATAGCGCATTTGGCATTTACTACATTGACAAAGTAAGAGGGAGAAAAAGCGTACACGTTTTCTCCACCAGTACATTCTAGTAAAGGCATCATGCAAACTAAAAATGTATTATAGAGTAGGCCATATTGCAAACATTGCTATAAACTAAATATCTATGTCCCCCCCAAATTCACACTAACCCCCAATAGGATGGTATGAGGAGGGGGGCCTTTGGAAGGTGGTCTGGTCATGACGGTGGAGCCCCCAGGAATGGGATGAGTGTCCTTACAAAAGGGACCCCAGAGAGCTCCCTCGTCCCTTGCTCTGTGTGAGGACACAAGAAGATGGAGGTCTATGAACCAGGAAGTGGGTCTCACCTTGACCTTGGACTTCCAGTCCCCAGAACAGTGGGGAAATAAATGCGCTATGTGCATAAGCCCCCCAGGCTACAGCATTCTGCTAATACCCACTGAAACAGAAACGTGCTCAATCCTAACTTTCATCAGACACCCAATGCCCGGCTCTAGAGCCATATTAACTATTACTTAAAGACCAAAAGGTGTCATTCAATCGCTGTTAGAAAAAAAAAAATTTTTTTTTTTTTGCAATTGCTTTCATTCAACATATCCGTGGAAAGAAGAAAATTTAAGACAAGGACATCTGGAAGAGGAAGGACAGCAGTGCATGCGCCATTTGGCTCCAAACGTTCACCCCCCGATTTTTTTTGCTTTTATCCTCTTCCTTTGAGACAATGGCTCGCTGGGCAATCAGCAAGAAGAACAGAAAAAGCCCTTGAAGGTCAATTAACTTTTGCAGAACGGTGTTTAAAGAGAGAAAGGCCGTGATGATTAAGGATGGGCAAGAAAGTGACCAAGCACCGCAGGCAAACGCCGGAAAGGAGAAAGACGGATCAGAAGCACCAAGAGAGGTCGGCAGAGTCTTATTTCAACAAAGTCAGGCTGGACATTGAGGTAGCAGTTGGTGCATGAATACTGCCAGCCCCAGTGATGGAGGACAGCATCCAGCAGGAGTGCCAGACAAGACAATTAGGGTACCACCTCCAAAGCATCCTGAGGACTGGGGTCCCCGGTGACATCCACAGGAGGCTCCTGGCTTGGTTCCAAGATTTCCACAGATGGGCCACCTTCTCCTTTATCCGTGGGCTGCTAGAAACATAACCATTCCATCGTTAGTCGGCAGATGCTTTCAGGCGACTACAGTTTTAACCACAAGAACAGAGAACTCTGCCAGGGGAAAATAAGATCAAAGGAACGTGTCGTGTCAAAGGCCCTTTCCGCAGACTAGAAAGAGGGGCTTCCCCACTCCCACCTTCTCCCCTGACATCCACCATTTCTCACACAAGATGAGATGCTGGAAGTTTTTATGGGAGGTACCAAAGCTAATTTTTCAGACAGGGATTCAATTATAGTTCACCCTTGAATAATGTTGTGAGGTTAGGTGTGCTGACCCACACACAGTCAAAAATCCAAGTATAACCGTTGACTCCCCCAAAACTTCACTACCAATAGCCTGTTGTTGACCGAAAGCCTTACCAATAACATAAGAAGTCGATCAACACATATTTAGCACATTCTATATATTATAGCCTGTATTCTTACAATAAAGTAAGCTGGAGAAAAGGAAATGTGATTAAGACAATCATAAGATGTGAAAATACATTTATAGTACCATACTGTATTTACTGAAAAAAATCCGTGTGTGAGTGGACCCACGCAGTTCAACCCTGTGTCACTCAAGAGTTGACTGTAGTTTATACCAAATGCCCATGGAAGCATTTTACTAAGCTCATGTCTCAATGAGCACAGCAGACTCTGAGCTCAATCTTCTGATCATGCACAGTAAAAAAGCCCAGATCCATGAGGGCAAATTTAGCAAAAACAGGGGTAGGACTCATAATCCTTCAATACTGATATTAAGCATGGGTCCAAAATCGTACCAAAAAATTCATTTTAAAAGGGAGAATATATGTCATGGTGATGTTACACCTTTGTCATTTCTAATTCTTCCTAAAGGAAAATGGACTAACCAAATGACCAACAGAAATCTGAACAGACACCCCAGTCCTGTATAGACTAATCATGACAGATATTCAAGATTGGGAGAACCATTCAGAAAGATCACCGGATGAAGAAAAGCATGGGGCACTTCTTTGGTATTCGATGGACAAAGACATGCCAAGAAAACGTCACTAGGAGACACAGAGGTGCGTAAGGAGTGTAAATGAGGTGTACCGAGGTGGTCTGGGTCCCTGAGGAGCCTGCACATTGGGGGGAGGGTGGTGACAATGGGTCACAGCTCACTCCAGCGGATGTCTCAAGTTCAGGCCACCCTACTGTCTGTCATAAAGAAAGAAAGAAAAGAAACTTAGGATAACCTTCCTGCAAATATCTGAAAACACCCAATCTACTTTGTTTGCCTCCACGATACAAAGGCAGCATGACCAGGAACAGGTGCGGGGCAGATGGTGCCAGGCTCACCATTTCCTGCGTCTGCTCCTTTGTCTTGGGCTCACATGCCCCCGTCTTCCTTGTACCTAAGTGGAGCCATACGATGACTTCTCACCCACACCACTGAGATGCAATGTGACTCACCTCCACTGACGCGGGATACACTTTTCCCACCCTCTTTACTCACAGGTGAGGTGAAGAACAAGATCCTTCCAACCTATTTCAACTGGGGTTCCATGAGAAAACAAACGCCTACAGAAAGCAATTCGAGCAACTGTTTTCTCAGTGCTTCCAAGGATGGTCCATAGCCAAGATCACTCCAGGTGCGTAGGAGACAATATAACGCATTGTGTGCGATGGCTGGCTTCAGCAGGAAGGGCTAATTCTCTCTCAGGGAGCCACAGTGGACAAGGGACACCCTAGAAGAAGCTGGGCCAGAACTGCAGGAGGATCCTGGACCCCTTGGTGACTGCATGGAGCCCAGGATGCCTTTACCACCTCAGCTGACTGGGACGCAGGCATAGATTTTTACCTGCTTGGGGCTGTTTGTTATACAGCAAGCCTAATCAATTCATGGTCGGGAAGCAGGCTTGGACCCACGGGCTGGTACAAGCCCCAAGGCTTCTGCAAGACTAACCTAATCACTGTCTGCCACAGAGGCTAAAGAACATTGACACATTTCCCAATTGTCCCTGCAAACATACTGCAGAAATCATGTGGGTGGGCTGGGTTGTGTCTGTGATAGGAATATAATAAATGCATCTGGCATCTTATTCCCCCTTGAGGCAACCAAGAGGCTGTAGGAAGAATCTGAGCAGACAGTTCAGCAGTGCTATGAGACTGAGGAACCCATAAATGATGAGGTATTGAGGAGGGACCCTCTGAACACCACAGGCTTTCATGAGGGACCGCACTAAAAGGAGGACGAGAAATAGAGCAGCTCTTACAAACACAGAAGCCCAATTTCACACCAGCTCAACCTCCAACAGTGCATGGGCAAACCACCTCTATGAAAACTTCCTGCCAGGTGCACCTGGGTGGCTCAGTTGGTGAAGCATCTGCCTTCAGCTCAGGTCATGATCCCAGGGTCCTGGGACTGAGCCCCAGGTCGGGCTCCCTGCCCAGCGGGGAGCCTGATTCTCCCTCTCCCTGTGCAGCTCCCCCTGCTTGTGCATGCTCTCTCTCTCTCCCGAATAAATAAATAAACTCTAAAAAAATATGCAATGTGATGTGTGCTATCAAAAATCAACTAGCACAGAGCAAAACAAGACCAAATGAATGAAGAACAAGAGGAAAAACAAAATCAAACCACAAGAACAGATCCACATGAAATCCAGATATATGATTTATCAGACATAGACTATAACCAAGTGTAAGAAATACTTTAAATGAAATAAATGGACAAGTTGGAGATTTTCAATGAAGTATGGAAACTGCCCTATTAAATATTTGATGTTTATTGGGGTTCAGAACACAATAACTGAAATTAAGTGTTCAGGATGTGGGTTTAACAACGGATTAAACTCAACCAAAGAGAAGATCGGTTAACTGGAAAATAAGCCAGTAGAACAGAGCATGGAAAGACAGATGGGAGGAAAATGTAGGGAAGGGAGTCACAGATAGAGCAAACATGGTAACAAGTCGTACTGAAGATGTAATTAAGATTACAAGAAGTTAGGAGCGTGGGGAGAGGGAAGGAGAGAAAGAGGGACACAGAGAGAGACAGAATGGGCAGAAGGAATACAGGCTCAAGCTACAAACTCCAAGTAGGATGAACACAAAGAATAATAAACCCAGAGCCATGATTATAAAACAGATAACTGAAGCCCAAGAGAGAAATCTTAAGAGCGGCCAGAGCAAAGAGACAAATGACCCTCAAGTGCATAAACATGAGCCTGGAAGACGAATTTGCAGAGAAATAATGGAAGTCAGAAGATTAAGAAACAACATGGTCAAAGTGCCCTTATAAAAAGAACTGCCAGTGAGAAGTCTACATCCAGTAAAATATGGCCCCAAACGAAGGTTAAATAAAGGAATTTTCAGATATACAAACGGAGGGAATTTTTCAGCATGAAGGCTGAGTGAAAATAAATAATAAAGGAAGTTCTTTGGGGAGAAGACAATGATTACTGATAGAAAGAATGAAATAAGGAATGAAGATAAAATGATATATAGCTAAGGGAACTTGGACTGTGTAAAGTAGCTATAGAATTAAAATATTGTTCTATAAGAATAGAACAAAATGTGGAGGGAAATGGACAGTCTGAAAGCCTTCTGGGGTTCTTCTATTCCCTGGAAGTGACAAAGTCCCAAATATATTACATTATGTCAAGGTTAGGAATGAAAATTGGAATCTCTGGGTAACCACTTAAATAATAATCAAAATAATGCTAAACTGACATGTAAAAGAGGCTGAAACGGAATAACTAAAAATACATTAATCAATCCAAAGAAAGATTAAAAAGAAAGAAAAAGATCTCTCAAATTGGTGATAATAAAGAGCAAACCAAGGGACAGATTTAAACATAAATATACTGGTAATTATATTAAATGTCAACAAAGTACCCCAGGTAAAAGGCAAAAAGTATTTGGATAGAAAGAAAACAAAACCTCATTCTGAACATCTTAAAGAGTTACACCTTAAACATAAGAACACAGAAAGGTTGACAGGAAAAATGCCGAACGAGATATACCATATCAGTACTAAGCAAAACAAAGCTTTAAGGCAATAAACTTTAGTAGAAATATTTCATAACAATAGAAAGATGTGCCAAGAATATACGGTAACATTAAACGCCTTGCTTTGTTAACAGCCGTTACTGAAGTACAATTTCCATACTATAAATTGGACTAAACTGTACACGCTGGCAGATTTTGACACAATCAAGAGAGTAAACACATATCATCCCCCAAAGTTTCCATAACAATCTCTCCCTCCTTCCTCCTCCATCCCCAGGGAAGCTCTCATCTTCTGTTTGTCACTGTAGGATTATTTTACATTTCCTACAAGTTTACAGAAATGGAACCACATGGTATGGTTTATCTTTTGTCTGGCTTCTTTGACTTGGTATAATTATCCTTTGCAACTTTGCTGCCCGGATCGATAGTCCGTTCCTCTTCATTACTGAGTAGTATTCCAGTGTATGGATGGACCACACTTTGTTTATACTTTGACCTACTGATGGACACTTGAGTTGTGTCCAGTTTTGAGCTCCTGGGTGACTCAGTCGGTTAAGCATCTACCTTTGGCTCAGGTCATGATCCCAGGTCCTGGGATTTGAGCCCCACTTTGGGCTCCCTGCTCAGGGGGGAGTCTGCTTCTCCCTCTCCCTCTGCTGCTCCCCCTGCCTGTGCTCTCTCTCTCTCTCTCTCTCACTCTCTCTCTCAAATAAATAAAATCTTAAAAAGAAAAAAACAGATCAACTGCTACTTTTATATGAACATATGCATTCATTTCTCTTGAGTAAATACCTAGGAGTGGAATGGCTAGATCACATGCTAGATGTATGACTGACATTTTAAGAAATTACCGGACCGTGTTTCACTTGCAGATGATGTAATGGTGTGTACAGAATAACCAAAAGAATCCAGGCAGAATCTCAGTGTTTACAATGACACTATTTATCATAGCCTCACAATCCACCAAAAACCAGGAATAAGTCTAGCAAAATGTATGCAAGGTCTTTACTAAAAAAATTAACATATTGGAAGAAATTAAAGAAGATCTAAAAGTAGAAATATACTAAGTCCATCGAGCAGAAGACTCAAACTTTGCTGATATTAATCCTTCCAAAACCCATCTATAGATTCAATGCAATCCCAGTGGAAATTCCAGAAAATTTTGTTTTGTTTTGTTTTCCAAGGCACTGCAAAGCTGATCCTAATATTCATATGGAAATTTAAAGGAAATTTAGAAGAGGCAGGGAAAGAAAAAAAAGTTGAAATACTTGCATGACTTATTTTAAAGCCACGGTAATCATGGCAGTGTATTATTGGTGCAAGAGAGGGAAAAATAAAAGAATCGAGAATCTGGAAATAGATCCATCCACATATGGGCAAAGGAAACATGACAAAGCAGGGGGGAATTAAAGGTGTTGTTGATAACCCATGCTGAGTTAATGATAGACCCCCATTAACAGCTGTGAATGTTGACCCCAAACTCATTCATTACCTAACATCCATTCCAAGTGGATTATACACTTACCTATAAGAGATAGAAACAACAAAAATTCTGTAAGACAACCAAGGTGATTATCTCCATGACCTTAGTTTAGGGACAGATTTCCTAAAGAATAAACAAAACATACGCCTCATCAAGGAAATTTTAAAACCTGGCTAAACTTGTATTCATCAAAGGATGCCATGTGGGGACTGAAAAGGGAACAGAGTAGGAGAAAGTATTTATACTGTACTACTGAAAAAGAACTTGCATCTGGAATATATACTAAATTGTTAAAACTCTAACTTAAAAAAAAAAAAAAAAGGAAACACCGGAGGAAAAAAATGTTCAAAGTATCTGAACGAGCATTTCCAAAAGAGTAAAAGCTCGATAAGCACCTAAGAATTGGTTCAAGTTAACTCAGTATCATCTCATACGCGCAAAGTAAAGCCACAAAGAGATGTCCCACATGCTCATTGGCATTTTGGAAGATTACTGAAGATGTGGAGCAACCAGGACTTCCCTACCCTGATAGTACTTGGCAGAATCTACTAACGCAAAAGGGTACACACACATGCTCTTTGATCTAAGGACCCCACCTTTAAGGATAACGTCTCCAAAAATGCTTAGTGAGGGCAACAAAATGCATGTATAAGGTTGTTCCCAACGGAGTTACCTGTGTTACCCAAAACAGCAGTGTGTCCACCAACACCAGAATTAAACAATACATTATGTCTTACTACAATTTGATAATATGCAGCCTACAAGAATCAATGAACTACACTCAGCAAGACAAATGGATCTCCTAAAGATGTCAAGTGAAAGAGACCAGACACAAAAGCAGATACTGTAGGATCCCGTTTATAAGGAGCTCAAAAGCATTCACAAGGAAGTGGTGTGGGTCAAGGTCAGGATAGACTTTCCTAGTGACTGGGAGGGTGCAAGAGGTATTTGGGGTGAGTTTCTGGATCTGGATTGTGGCTATTTAGCATTTTTTTTTCACTCTGAAAATGCATCAAGATGTATACTTACCATGTTTGCCCTTTTTTACATGCATGTTATCCCTCAACAAAAAGTTTTATGAAAAAACAAGTAAGATGTTCTAAGAAAGCACAATAAAAACAACCAATAACTTCAAAAACCTAAAGGGCATCCCTCATATTTTCTTTTTTTTTTTTTTAAAGATTTTATTTATTTATCTGAGAGAATGGGAGACAGAGAGCATGAGAGGGGAAGGGTCAGAGGGAGAAGCAG